TGACAGAAAATCCACCGAGCTCTGAACATGACGTACGAGGACGTGAAGAGGCAGCGAGCTGAGAAAGAGAAGAGGTCAGTCTCACCATCTGAGCTCAGAGTGTTTAGGTTAACTTTGATGGGAGTTGCAAGATGTCAACAGAGAACAGAACAACCTTAGGCTTCAATCTCCAGTTATTCTTTCAGTTATGAAGCTGATTTTATAATCCATGAATGAGAAATACGATAAATATAAACTTTCATGAGCAAAAACACTGTTGAAAAAGTCTTGGTTTTAAATTAGAAACACATGACCTTATAATGTTTTTTTCAGTTCTTCAAGCTAAACGTCTCCTTTGGAGTTTAGAGATTTCTTATCCACATATTTCTCACTGACTTATGTGCATTATTCTGAGCCTAAGGTCTTTGTCTGTGTTCAGCTGTAACCTGCACAAGTCTCAGCCCCCTCCGGCCCCTCCCGCTCCGGGAGCTTCAGCCAAATGGAACAACGAGACGAGCAAGGACGCCGATGCCGCAGCTACCGCCGCTGCTGCCAAAGATGCCAGAGACTTCAAAAGAGTCCACTTCAACCTGGAGACGCTGAACACCCGCCGTCTGCTTGCTCGTCTTGCAGTCTCTGAAACCAAGGGAGGCAGCGCCATGGCTGAGAGGGAGGGTCCAGCCAAGCCGAAGGCGGGGCCAAACAGCAGGCTATGTGAGAATGGAGGACCGGCGGCTTCGTTCACCAACCGACTGCTCACGCTCCCCTCCTCATCCTCCTCTGCAAGACACAATGCTTCAGCTCCAGCCCCCACAGCCGCGGCGCTTTCTCCGCCTGCTACTTCCACCCCTGCCCCCGTTACCATAGCCCCGCCTGCCTCAGATGCCCCACCCCGTGTTGCTGTGGCTCCGCCCCGGCCTGGCGAGCTGGAGGAGCTGGAGGAGGAGATCGAACAGATGAGGGAGAAGTTACGGACAGCTCTGGCAAGGAGAGCTGAGATTCAGACGACTCTAACCAAACCCACTGTCACAGTGACAAGCGCCCCATCATCCGTTACCACGACAACCATTATGGCGACCCCAACAACGACAGGAGCCACGCCCATTCCCATACCCACCATTACCCCAGTAACAACCCTTCCTTCCAACATGAAATGCGTAACGACCATGACCGACCCGCCTCACAAAGTCCTATCTAAAGTCCGGCCCCTCCATAGCAGCCTGGCCAGTCAGAGGAGGTGATGTTCTCTGGAAAGGTCACGACACGGCGGCCATTCTAATCAGCAGTGAGGAAAAAAAATGTTCCTTTTATTTTGTTTAACTTTCTCAAGTTCTCAAAGAAGTTGATTGGACAGAAAACATCAAAGAGCCCTGAAGCTAATCAGATGATTGGTTACCTAATCAATATTTTTAGGCTGGATGAAATTATTGAACCCTTTAGAGTACAAACACTTTATATTTCCAGCTAAAATTAGAAATCCTGTGAAAACATTAAAGAAAAAATGAAATTGTTTCAATTACTTTATAAAATAAAAAATTACTGTTGAGAAAATATGCTAATTTAAATCCATAAATCTTAAAATGAAAGTCTGAAGATCAGGTAACATGCCCCAAACCCGAACCTTTATTATTTTACACATTTCAAAGTTTGAATAATCACTCAAAGACCAGTTATTTTATACACAAAATTTATTATTTTGTAATATTACTAATATTAGTAATTAGTATTGAATCAGTATTACTGTGAGTACAGTTTGTTTTTCAGGGTTTTTTACTCCTAAACGTCAAAGACAATCTATTTAAAATATTTTAATATGATATATTTATCACTTTAAAAGTGATGTTTTTTTGTCAATTAAGTGGTCAATAAAAAAAATATCTTTTAATGTTTTTCAGTCACAAGTACAGCTTGTGAAGTCTAAAGTCTGTCAGATAAATTATGTAAACTGAGGAAGAGAAGAAGACCAGGACGTGAGCCTGAGGTACACCGAATTTAATGAGTTCTTAGTTTGAGCCAAATACAGAATAATGTAGCAGTTGTATTATAGAAGTGCATATTCCTAAAGAATCCAGAGACTTATTTTTGCATATTTTTACATATTTAGTAACAAAACAAATAAGTTTGTATATAATTAAAATAGCTGCAGTGAATCTAAAGATTTTATTCTTTATTTTTATATAAAATCAGAGTCTGATGTTCAGTTTCCACCTCTGACTGGTTAAAACGGCCGCCGTGACAGAGACTGAAGAGCATTTCTGGAACTTTCTAAAACTCTGGCGGTGCACAAAAAGCATGTCCACTCTTTAAAAAGAAATTACAAGAAGTACACATACCACCAGACACAACATGAACAATAAAGCTGTTTCCTGTTGGGAACAGAAACGGTGGTGTTCATGCAATAACATCGTTAGTTCTTCACATAGACGTAACTCCTCTTCATGTAACATGAACATGGTTAGTGTAAGCAGTATGCCGAAGGTTTTTATTAGAGTCGCTTCACTACAGACATGAAACCTTAAATGTTCCCACAGAGCCTGAACCCATCCCCGAATGTGACTTTAACCCCACCAATAACCACACACCAAGAAGTTAAACTGTAGAAATGTCTTAAAGACATAAACACCTGGATGACCTCTATTTTTCTGCTTCTAAACTTCTAAAAACTGAGGTTATTGTACTTGGCCCTGAAAATCTTAGAAATATGGTATCTAATCAGATACCTACTCTGGATGGCATTACCTTGGCCTCCAGTAACACTGTGAGTAATCGCGGAGTCATTTTTGACCAGGATATGTCCTTCAGCATCTACATTAAACAAATATTTATCTTTCTTCAAACATGTTTCTTAGAAACACTGAACTGCATCACTTTCCAAACTAAAGATGAAGAAATGTTCAGATTCTCCAGAAAACATGAAAACTTTTGTTAAACCTTCAAATGGTCTGAAAAGTTGAGGATGTTTTCACTCTGTTTGGTACATTTACAGGTTTCTCATAAAAAAGAAAGAAAAAAAATTGATTTGTATTTTATTCATTCATTCAGTTTGTTTTTCATCAGTTAAACTTAAATCTGAGAGATGAGCCTGAGTTTTGACTTTCAGATATTTTACTGAGTTAAATCCATTATTCATCCTGTTATTCTTCCTAAGTGTTTTTATGATAATTAATAAAATCGACTTTCTAATGAAGTCTGTGACGTTGTATTTTACTGGTTGATCTGATTTAACCGAGGAATCGGCTGGAGTTATTAAAAGCTTAAACCTCAGTGTCAGTCTAAAATTTGTTAAACCCTCTGTTTTATTCACAGCTAACAAGCTAGGTGTAGAATGATCGATCAGTGATTTGTTATAACCAGTGTTGGTCAAGTTACTTGAAAAAAGTAATCAGTAACTAATTACTGATTACTTCCCCAAAAAAGTAATCCCGTTACTTTACTGCTTACTTATTTTCAAAGGTAATTAATTACTTAGTTACTTAGTTACTTTTTAAAAACACGATTTACAACCTGAATAGGTAATAAAGTGATAGATCTTTCAGCCCAATTCTACTTTTTCTGCATAATCCATCACACAAAATGTAATCAAATGGAAAAGTCTCTTTTTTTTTTTACTTGTTTTATCAATTTTAATCTTTTAACTTTATGCATCAAGCAAAAATGTAATTATATGCAACATTCTCTGACTTGAAGAAATTAGTTTAACATTTAAAGCTATTTTCTGCACATTCCAGCACATAAAATAAAATATTTTTTGTGTTTACACTCAGTCTTTCAAATAGATGCAAGTAAAACACAGCAGAAAATAAATAAAGTCAAAGACTAGTGGTCCTGTTGCTCTATTTTCACCTGTAAAGCAGGAGTAGGGTAGGCGGAGGTTTGCCCTGGTGCAGGTGTGCCGCAGCGGTCAGTGGAAGAATCCGCGAGTTTCTCTGTGAATTTCCCATTACGTCGTTGCACACTCGGTGCTTGTTTAGGGGGGGTTTTTCGCTGTAAAAAGAAGTTTTCTTCCCACGCACAACGGACACTAATGTTTTTGTCACTTTTTGTGGAATCAAACTCAAAGTAAGGTCAGTACTTCCACGGTTTAAACGCTGCACGCTCATACTCTCTCCCGCACTCGATATATTATCCATCGTTGATCTGCACACAGCTGTTGTCACGAACGTCGCACTCGCTTACGTCATTGTCATGGGACATTCTCGCAAAAATATCACGGTTTTAGTAACGCAGTAACGCAGCGTTCCTACAGGAAAGTAACGGTAATGTAAATACCGTTTTTGCGATAGTAATCCCTTACTTTACTCGTTACTTTAAAAAAGTAATCAGATTACAGTAACGCGTTGCGTTACTGCCCATCTCTGGTTATAGCACAGCTTTACTGAGTGTACAGTAAGCATCCATCAGTCATTACAATAACAATACCTCTTAATGCTGTAAAAGGTATTGCAACGACATAAAGCTGCCATACACCTTGGCTTAAACCAGTATAAGACGTCTTAGCCACAAGAGCATGCATGTAGAAAGTATGCACCTATGCTAACAGTTTCCTTTGTTTTCTAGCATTTACACTAAACTAACACAAAATGTCATCTGCAGATGTGATGAAGGGTATACTCAGTCATTTTTTTCTTTATTTTAATAGAAGAAAATACTGTACTCATAAATATACATTGATTAGTGAGTAGCTACATCTTCCAACAATTGAGGAACCCTCATGAACTTATCATTAATGTATTAAAAATAGATAACAGCTGCCATGTTGCCCAACCATCTTGAATCCAGTGATTTCTGTTCTGCCTAATCAGCACAGCGATTATAGACTGGCCCCATACCAGAGGTGGAGGAGAACAGAAATGGTAGGCATTGGCATGCTGTGGACGGGCATTTTAATTCCTATCTGCATTTCAAACTGAAGATATCAAGGATCAAATCTATGTTTTATCATTAAAGAAACAAAAACATGAAAGGGACAATGCCACCACGATCTCATCTCATCTCCTGAAATGAAGCTGGGGCTCTAACACATGAAAATGTGCATAAACAAGTTATTTGCAATACTGTCATAGTTACTTAATGTGATCAGAAAAGAAACAATCTGCTGACATTTATAGGTGAGATTTTACACTTTGTTTCCTGATGAGGTGTTCGCGGACCTGTTAGTTCTGGGGAGTTGTAATGCAATCAGTGTTCCTGTTCTTGATCTTGTGACATTTTTGGAAATTCAAACAGAAATGTGGTTGTTGTCACTTTAAGAGTTTCTCTCTTTTTATTTAAAAAAAATTTTTTTAGATAATTTCATCTCAAATATTGAAACAGGTGTTTGTAAAAATAAACCACTGAACCTTGTTCACACAGAGAATTATAAACATTTAATCATGTTAAAAAAAAAATTTAACATCTGTTTTCTGATTGATCAGCTCTTGTTGAGAGCAGCTGCCAGCTGGTTGTAGCTCATCTTCCTCAGTATCTCCTCAGTTACCTCCTTGGCCCCCTCGGCGTGGTACTTCTGGACCATGAGGTCAACAGTTCTGGTTCTGTCTGCGGCCTCCAGTCGGCTGACGGAGATCGGATCAGTCCGGAGACTCAGGAAGCGCTGGAAGGTTTTCAGATCCTCTGAACCGAGACGGTTGAGCATCTGCAGCAGCTGCAGGGTCCCATCTTCGTCCTGCAAGTCCAGCACCTTCACTGACATGGGAGAGACCGGAACACAGATCAGACCAGATCCACACACATTAACTGATCTGCAAGACCGGTAATGTTGTGGTGATGGAGCTGTACTCCCTTAAGATGGTGTCGAAGAGGCCAAGATAAAGACAATGCTGGACAATACCTCCCACCCACTCCATGACGTACTGCCCAGTCACAGGAGCACGCTTAGTGAGAGACTGAGATTACCCATAATGCACCACTGAATGACACAGGAAATCATTTCTCCCTGTGGATATCACATCCAACTAATGCACAGTACACACTGCATTAGTTACATCATTTTGCACATCCCCTACAGTAAAATAACAAATAACATTTAAATAAAGTTTTACAGTTTAGGGTAAAATGTCAATCATATATTTTTAATCTTTGTAAGATTCTGGATATTTATAATTGAGCTATTTGTTTATATTAAAGCTATTTTTTTATATTCTGTAATTTTGTAATATATTGCATTATTTCATTTCCTCTGGGATTAATAAAGGATTCTGATTCTGATGTTTATAGATCTGTCTGTGTGAACAAAAAGATCTGAGGTCACTCTGGATTAAACAGATTATTCAGATTAAGTCATCAGAAATGTTTGAAACTACAGTTATTAATTAAAGTTATGTTATCACTGTTACCTGATAAACATTTCTCAGGTGGAAAAGCTGAATTTCTGATTAGCTGATGAAAGAGTAAGTTTGGTTTGATTAAAGCCTCTAAAGGACAAAAAGCATGTCTGGGGGCAGCAGTCTGAAACTGCTGGACACCAGCCAATTAAAGGACAGGATTCAGACGCATGAGCACAAACTGGGAGCCAGGAAAAAAACACTGGTCAGGACAGGCAAACGTTCAATGGAGATGTCTGGCTGAAACAATCAAAGAGAAGCTGCAGGTTCACGAGTCTCCATGATAAAGTCTCACATTTTCAAGAACCATGGTGTGTTTTCAGTTTGACTATAAATCAACTACAGACACAGGTAAAAGAAGGTCACATGTAGTGTGAATTACCTTTTAGCTGAATGTCTCGGGCCCAGACCTCACACTCTTTGTTGCCAAACACCCAGCCGATCAGACGGGATCCAGCCACATGACTCCTGAGCTGCAGCCTCACTTGTGTGGCTCCAGCCTTCAGCTGCACCTGGAATGACGGCAGGAAGTTGTTGTAGTCTCTGAAGTTCACGAACTTTGATATCTGAAACGATAAAAACAAGAAATGAGCTTCATGAGAGTGTGTGTGTAAAAATTAAGATCAGGGTCTAATCAGGAAGCAGCGTCAACAAACTCAGCTTCCTGTTTCTGAACAGCTGATGGAGTTTCAATTCAAGGATTCACCATGGCAATGGTAAACAAAGAGAAAGTAAAGCATCAGGTGAGAGCAGGTGAGAGCAGGTGAGAGCAGGTGCAGCGTCCAAGTGACATACCTCTGGCTGGATGACTGTGACGGGCTCTCCAATCAGTTTGTATGTGTGATTTGGGATCAGTTCGCAGTCAGGAATAGCTTCGACGTACTCAGCCCCAATCCGCCGCTTCCACTCCTTTCTCACCTGCACATCAGGTGATCAGTCAGAGCCACAAAGACTGATTCAGGTATTTGTTACCGGTGTCAGAGGATATCATTTCAAATATAAATCATTTGAAATTTAAACCTTTCACTGCACTTTTCATGGATATTGTAAGGACCCTTCAGGCAGGGCCTGCTTACCTGAGTGAGGCAGACATTCCTGGGCAGCAGCAGGACAAACAGTGTGGAATTTGTGGGTTGAGAGAAGATCAACACCAGGCCAGCAATCTGGTCACTGGGCGCTGGGGTCACCAGACCAAAGCACGAGAAGCCCGAGATATCAACTGTCACATGACTATCGGTCACCTGACCTGGAGTGATAAAGTCCACACAGTCCCCAGTGACATGAGCTACAGATAGGAAGTGCTGACCACCATCTGCAAGATAGAAAAACATTCATCCAGAGACTATCAAGAAACGTCAGCCAGCGATGGCAATTCAGACGTGTCTGACATGGTAACCCTGGAATGAGCCAAACACAAAATGTAAATCTAAACTTTTCTCCAAAGTCTCGGACTCAGAGGATTAAACAAGATCAGAAAGTATTTTTCTTTCCTCCAAAACATCAGGCGAGGATGATTTCTTCTGCAGGTTCTGTTTGCTGTCATGTGAATGTGAAGTTTGACCTCATGGTGGGACTGTGACATGTAACTGGCAGAAAACATGTCAAAGAAACAGTTAGTGACCTGAGAGCAGCTGGCAATGCGGCAGGTGGAGTCGCTGGAAGCTCCCAGTCAGCAGGTGGAACCTGAACAGAGCTCCTGCCACCTGCAGCCCTTTAGAGGACAGGAAGTCCACATCCCAGGGAACCATCTCATACACCACGTCACCAAATCCCTCCAACACCAGGCCTGTCACACTGCACCTGAACACACCGTGCTGCTGGCAGCGCAACCTGGCAACATGGAAACATTACTGTTTATTTGTTAGCTCTTAACTGTGAGGTGATATTCAGAGCATCTAGACAGTGTTCACAGCCTTAAATTGTATTATACAGCCCTTTGCTGCATGTCTTCCCCCTCCTCTCTCTGTGCGCGCTTTCCTGTCGTTTCTTCACTGAGCCTTCTAATAAAGTTGAAAATGGACAAAAAAATATTTGTTTATAGTTTTTTCTGTAATTGATCTTCTGAGTTAACTTCAGTAATTACTTCCTTCAAACCATCAATGTGCCTTTTAGACCCCATTCCTACAAGACTCATCAATGAAGTCCTGCCATTAATTAATGCTTCAATCTTAAATCTGGTCAACCTATCTGGGGGTTTGCTCACTATGTGTTTATACACCACTCTGCATTTAATCATTAGTGAGTCTAAACAAATCTAAGATTGTCTTCATACAAGAAACACATTCGACCACGTCAGACATAAAAATGCTGACTACAAGATGGCCAGGTCACTACTTCAAACTCCAAAGCTCATCAAAGATCCATAGGGAAGGTACATTATTGTTCAAGTTAATATCCTATAACCTGCAGCGGCTCCTGGGCCTGGCAGATTAGTACTACATAGAAGTGAAGAAGTGAAATAATTGAAAAGGAGAGGGAGGCTGAGAACAAAGAGCTTGTAGAACTGGGGGATCATATATAGATAAGAACCGGAAGGAGCCTGTTGGGAGGCATCGTCCCACTCTCCATCGATGTCGGTCAGCTTCGGCTTCGTCCCAGACGAGGTTGACGGTTTGCAGATCCTCCATAAATGTTCAATGCCATGTGATCTTTGGCTAGCCTTGCTTTCCCTTGGCAGTGCGCGGGAACCATGTAATGGGGCTCTTGGCCAGGCGATGAGCGGGTAGATGTAGAATATGGCCCGCAAAGTGGAAGCGCCTTTCGGCAACAACATCAGGCTGAGGGACGGGTGACTGCTCTTCATAAGACCTCTTTGTTCGTTATCCGGTCCCAGTAGGAAGGATGCCAGTATTGATCCATCCATTCATCCATTCATATCCTTTTCAGGGTCGCGGGACCCGTGCAGCTGTCAACCATCCAGCCGCAGCAGTGGGAGTTGGAGTAGAGACCACGAAGGGCGTCTGCAAACTGCTGGGGGACTCCATAGTGATGTAGGATAGCCCATAGTCGGCCGGTGGACGCTGTCAAAATCCTTCTTGAAATCGATAAAATTGATCTTTTTTTGGTAGTCCAGTGTTTGTTCAACAATCATGTGGAGGGTGAAGATTTGGTCGACACATGACCAGCCACTCCAAAAACCAGCCTGCTCTTCTTGCAATCGCTCGTCCCCTGCATGTCGTAGCCGACTCAAAAGAACAAGGCAATGAGGTAGAAAGAACAAACCATAGTATAAAATCGCTCAACTGAATGCTCCTATAGGGATGTGATGCAAACTAGAAGACTAGACAGAGACTAGACTCATTGAGATCATCAACAAGACTGGCTCTCTTCCACACTGTGTGTTTTGTACTGTATTCCTCCCCTCACCCCCAATCGGTCGCAGCAGATGGCCCCTCCCTGAACCTGGTTCTGCAGGAGGTTTCTTCCTGTTAAAAGGGAGTTTTTCCTTCCCACTGTCGCCAAGTGCTTGCTCATAGGAGATGATATAGTTGTTGGGGTTTCTCTGTGTTATTGTAGGGGGTTTACCTTACAGAATAAAGTCATCCAAGTGACTTTTTCAGTTTGAAGAAGAAGAAAAAGAAGTGATGAAACATTTCTCCCACTGAAAACGCTATGTCCAGATGAACAGAATCAACCTCTTGGTGAATACCTCAAAATGACAAAGTGAAAAGCTCCAACAGGTTTGATGGGGACCGTTGGTACTCGGCTATTTTCAGATCTCTCCAGAGATGTTCAGTCAGGCTCTTACTGGGTCACTTCAGAGTGGTCCCAAGCCACTCCTTTGTTATCTTGGCTGTGTGCTTAGAGTCACTGTCCTGTTGGAACCGTCGCCCCAGTCCAAGATCCAGAGCCCTCTGGAGCAGGTTATCATCAAAGATGTCTCTGTACATTGCTGCATTAATCTTTCCCTTGACCATCACTAGTTTCCGCATTTCTGCTGCTGAGAAATATTTTGAGGTGAAAAAATGAATTTAATCCATTTTAGAATAAGGCTGTAACATGACAAGGCAACATGACTATTCTGTCCCCTGCGTGCGTGGTTCTGGTACACGAAGTGACAGATAGCTAAACATATGCCGTAAGCACTGAAAGCGTTGAATGATGAGTCAGGCGTGAAAGTAAAGTTGAGGGCTGTTTACTTGTTTGTCTTCATCAACGTACAACTTACACGCCTGACTCATCATTCAACGCTTTCAGTGCTTACGGCATATGTTTAGCTATCTGTCACTTCGTGTACCAGAACCACGCACGCAGGGGACAGAATAGTGAAAAAACAGCATCACACCAGGGATAATACAGCAAGTCTGGATAGCAGAGACCGCTAACGCTCATTAGTCTTCCTGCCTTGTTTAGTTGTACCTTGCATGCCGAATAGTCATCATGGACAATAAGCCAGATACAGAAGATCAACAGAAGACTAGCTCTCCAAGAACATCTGTGAAGTCATATGTGACCAGATCTGTTGCTAGTTCTTCTAACAGCTTCTGCAAGTCTTCTGCAAGCCTAGCAGCTGCTAAAGCACGTGCAAGAGCTGAAGCAGTGCGTGCTCGCTCCACCTTTGTCAAAAAAGAAACTGAACTCATGGTGGAAAAAGCCCAGTTGAGAGTAGAAGAGGCACGCATGGAGGCTGCTCTGGCCACACTGAAGCAAGAGAAAGAAGTTGCAGCGGCTTTAGCTGAGGCGGAGGTTTTGGAATCAGCCGTAGCAGAACTCGGCTCTAAACAAGATCTCAGGGCAGCGGACATCATAGGAATTCCCCCTGACTCCACAGAAAAAAGAACAAATGATTATGTTGAGTGTCACTCAAGAATGCACTCTAGTCAGCTGTCGTTGCCCGGCCTTGAGTCCCATATCACCTCCAGTCGGCCACGCGATTTCTCTCATGCGCCACCACTCCAGGACAACGAACTGAATCCCATTCGTACAGCCATTGATGGACTGAGCTCCACTCCAGCTCGTGTCAAGAGCCATACTACCTTTGAAGAAAATGGTATGAAGCATCCATCTGCTCAGAATTACCCTGGGATTTATCCATGTAGTGTCACCCCCCTGCAGGAACCTCAACCACACACACATCCTCTTAGAATGCAAGCAGCGCAGCCCTCTGCTCTGAACCATACCGGCATTAATGACTTTGCTGTATACATGGCTCGCCGGAACTTGTGACATCCGGGATGACAAAGTTTGATGATCGTCCAGAGAATTATTGGGGCTGGAAGTCTACCTTCATGAACATCATTGAAGGGCTAAAACTCACCTGCAATGAAGAGCTTGACCTTCTCACTAGATGGTTAGGTCCTCAATCATCTGAGCAAGTCAGGAGAATCAGAGCTGTTCATGTCAATGACCCCGCTGCAGGGCTCAGGATGGCGTGGATGCGACTTGAAGAGAACTACGGGTCTCCTGAAATAATTGAGAAAGCTCTGCTGGACAAACTGGAGAGATTTCCTAAGATCAGCAACAGGGACCCTCTCAACCTGAGAGAGCTTGGTGACTTGTTAAGGGAGTTGGGGTCAGCAAAGTTAGAAGGTTGTTTGCCTGGGCTCGCCTATCTGGATACCTCTCGCGGCATTAAACCAATAGTGGAGAAACTGCCGTATGGCCTTCAAGAAAAATGGATGACACAAGGCAGTGCGTACAAGCTGCAAAACCAAGGCCAGTTTCCACCATTCTCATTCTTCACTGACTTTGTCTGCAAAGAAGCCCGCACTCGTAATGATCCAAGTTTTGCATTTAGCTCATTTGGGATGACGACAGTGAAACCAGAAAACTCACCTAAAAGGTACACGCATTCCAGGAACCACGTCTCATCCAGCAAAACAGAGATTACATCAACATCTGCCATCAAGCCCACAGAGTCAGCTAGCAGTAAGTTGGATGTGGACAGACAGTGTCCGATTCACAAAAAACCCCACCCTCTCAAGCGGTGTAGGGGCTTCCGAGCTAAGACACTGGATGAACGCAAAACGTTCCTGCGAGATAGTGGAGTTTGTTTCAGATGCTGCTCCTCAACTGAACACGTTGCTAAAGACTGCAAAACAATTATTCACTGTAAAGAGTGTAACAGTGACAAGCACGTCACAGCACTTCATCCAGGACCAGCTCCATGGGCTGTCAAAGACCCTGAGGATGAGCATGGCGGGGAGGAAGATGAAGCGGCTTCTCCTGACATAATCTCCAAATGCACAGAAGTGTGTGGAATTGCCAATAACTCCCGCTCTTGCTCTAAAATCTGTCTCATAAAAGTGCATCCTAGAGGACAACCAGAAAGATCTATAAAAGTCTATGCCGTACTTGATGACCAGAGCAATAGGTCTCTTGCTCGGTCCAAATTCTTCGACCTGTTTGGCCTCAAGGGTAGCGATTCTCCCTACACGCTGCGCACATGTGCGGGAGTCACTGAGTTATCTGGCCGAAGAGGAGTTGGATTTGTTGCTCAGCCATTGGATGGACGTCTCAGCATTCCTCTTCCCACACTTATTGAGTGTAGCCATATCCCAGATGATAGATCGGAGATACCTACTCCTGATGTAGTCAAACACCACCCACACCTAAAGTCTATCACTCATCTCATCCCTGAACTTGATCCAAATGCGCAAATTCTCCTTCTGCTGGGTCGGGATGTGTTACAAGTCCATAAAGTGAGAGACCAACGCAACGGGCCCAATAATGCACCCTATGCCCAAAGACTGGACCTTGGCTGGGTCGTAGTTGGAGACGTCTGTTTGGGTGCAGCTCACAAGCCGAAAGCAGTTAATGTCTACCGGACTAACGTTCTGGAGAATGGGCGTCACTCTCATTTCAGTCCATGTCCCAACCACCTAGTTGTGAAAGAGAAGCTTACAACAAGGACAGGCATAAGACCTCTCAACTCTCAAACCCTGTCACACTTTCATCCTCTGGACAGCCTGTTTCAGAACTCTGATGATCATTTACTTGGCAACAAAATCTTCGAAAGAACAGAGAATGACAATGAAGTTGCCCCATCTATTGAGGACAAACGGTTCATTCAGTTGATGAATAATGAGATGTTCATAGATGATGCTAACAGTTGGGTAGCTCCCCTTCCCTTTCGCATGCCAAGACCACGGCTGCCTAACAACAGAGGACAAGCTCTGACTCGTTTCACCAGTCTCTGCAAAACTCTAGAAAGGAAACCTGAGATGAGGAGACATTTTCTGGCTTTCATGCAGAATATCTTTGATCGAGATCATGCTGAACCAGCTCCAGCACTCAACGATGGAGATGAATGCTGGTACCTTCCCAGTTTTGGCGTCTATCATCCACGCAAGCCTGGCCAGATCCGAGTTGTGTTTGATTCAAGCGCTCCTTATCTTGGCATCTCCTTGAACGATGTGCTGTTGACAGAGCCAGACTTAAATAACACTCTGCTGGGAGTCCTAATGCGGTTTAGGCATGAACAGGTAGCCATCACAGCAGATATTGAGCAGATGTTTCACAGCTTTGTTGTCAGGGAAGACCACAGGAACTTCCTCAGATTTCTGTGGTTTAAAGACAATGACATCACGAAGGAAGTTGTGGAATATCGTATGAGAGTCCATGTGTTTGGCAACCGCCCCTCTCCAGCTGTGGCTACTTATGGGCTTCGGAGAACAGCTTTACATGGAGAGGGCGAGTTTGGGGAGGGGGCAAAGGAGTTCATACACAGGAACTTCTACGTTGATGATGCACTCAAGTCACTGCCATCTGCAACAGCAGCTATCAGTCTTCTCAAGGCAGCCCAAGGCATGCTTGCCATCTCCAACTTGAGACTTCATAAAATAGCATCCAATTGCCTAACTGTCATGCAGGCTTTCCCATCAACAGATCATGCAAAAGACTTGAAAAATCTCGACCTGGACAAAGATTCACCTCCTTTGCAGAGAAGTCTTGGATTAAGCTGGGACCTTGTGAATGACACTTTTACATTCCGTGTTGCCAAGAGCGAGAAGCCATTCACCCGAAGAGGAGTTCTTGCAACTATCAATAGTTTGTTTGATCCACTTGGTCTCGTAGCTCCCGTTACTATTCATGGAAAGCTCTTGTTGCGGCAGCTCACTCGTGACAGTAGTGACTGGGATGCTCCCCTCCCGTCTGAAAAGGCAACAGAGTGGATTACCTGGAGGGATTCACTGCAGGATTTGGAACAGTTTGCAATCTCCCGAGCCTACATTGCTACGTCCCTGTCCACTGCACAACGTACAGAGATCCATATCTTCTCGGATGCTTCCACCAAAGCCATTGCGGCTGTGGCATATCTCAAAGTGGAAGATGTGGAAGGTAAATGTCATGTAGGTTTCATAATGGGGAAAGCCAAGTTAGCCCCCCTACCATTCCACACTATTCCCAGGCTGGAATTAGGTGCTGCTGTTCTGGCAGTGGAAATTGCTGAGCTGCTTGTGAAAGAGCTGGACGTTAGTCTTGATAGTCTGAAGTTCTATACTGACAGCAAGGTGGTGCTGGGGTATATTTACAATGAAAGCAGGAGATTTTATGTGTATGTCAGCAACAGAGTGGAACGGATAAGGAAGTTCTCATGCCCTGAACAATGGCAATATGTCCACACTGATGAAAACCCTGCAGATGTTGCCACCAGGTCAGTGCATCCAGCTCGTCTCTTAAGCACCAACTGGCTTACAGGTCCACGTTTTCTGAGACGTTCTGGGGACATAGACTCAGGTAAAGAAACATCCTATGACCTCATTGATCCAGACTCTGATACAGAGGTCAGAAGCCACATTACTACTGTTGCAAACCCCCATAGGAGTATGGGGTCGCATCGATTTGAAAGATTTTCCATGTGGGAACCCCTTGTCAGAGCTGTGGCCTCCCTAATCCACATCGTCCAATCCTTCAGGTCTGAGAAGGATAGCAATGGGCAAGACTGCAAAGGTTGGCATCACTGTTTGAAGCCACACAAAATGGATACACTGTCGCAAGCAAGGCATACCATTATTGGATGTGTACAAAAGGAGACATACCAAGTGGAAGTGTCTTGTTTGGAGAAAGGCGAAGTAATTCCCAAAAGCAGTCCTCTGAGGAAGCTCAGCCCAATTCTTGATGATAGCAAACTTTTAAGAGTTGGTGGGCGGCTCCAGCATGCTTCAATCGAGACACATGAAAAGCATCCTCTCATCATTCCTGGCCGCAGCCACATAGCTACTCTACTTGTAAACTACTACCATGAGCGGGTTCACCATCAAGGCAGAGTTTTTACTGAGGGAGCTATCCGCACGGCTGGCATCTGGATTGTAGGGGCAAAGAAATGTATCTCCAGAAACCTGCACAAGTGTGTTACATGCAACAGACTTCGTGGTAGACCCGCAGAGCAAAAGATGGCAAATCTTCCACCTGATCGTCTTAGCACTGAACCTCCATTTACAAATGTGGGCCTGGATGTATTCGGTCCCTGGAATGTCTCCACCCGTCGCACCCGAGGTGGTGCCGCAAACTCTAAAAGGTGGGCAGTACTCTTCACGTGTTTAAGTGTTCGTGCTGTACATATCGAGCTCATAGAGTCAATGGACACATCGAGCTTCATTAATGCTCTACGGCGGTTCTTTGCTATGCGTGGTCCTGTGAAGATGATCCGCTCTGACTGTGGCACAAACTTTAAGGGGGCTTGCAGAGAACTTCAAATTCTCCTACGGGATGAAACCGATATCTCAAGGTACCTCAGTGAGGAAGGATGCACATGGCTGTTCAACCCACCTCATTCTTCCCATATGGGAGGAGTATGGGAAAGAATGATTGGGGTTTCGAGACGGATTCTTGACTCTATGCTTTCTCAGATCAGTCCCTCGCATCTCACTCATGAAGTGCTTTCGACCCTTATGGCTGAGGTAGGAGCGATAATAAATGCAAGGCCTCTTGCTCCCATCTCAAGTGATCCAGATTCACCGTTTCTTCTGACTCCAGCAATGATCTTGACACAGAAGGTCTGCACCCCTCTTGCTCCTCCAGGATCATTTGAAGCTGCAGATATGTATCGTCAGCAGTGGAAACGTGTTCAGCACTTGGCGAATACATTTTGGGAGAGATGGAGGCGAGAATATCTCTCTACTCTTCAAAATCGAAGCAAGTGGCAAAATAGTCAGCCCAATGTCAAGGAAGGGGACTTGGTGTTGCTCAAAGACCCTCAGGTAAAAAGAAATCAGTGGCCAATGGCTCTTGTCACCAAGGCTTACCCAGACAGCGATGGAAAGGTCAGGAAACTCGAACTGAGGGTCACGAAAGGAGGTACCATTAAGACCTTCTTTAGACCAGTAACCGAAGTAGTGGTACTTTTGTCTATCTGATTATCTACCATGGACAGTCAATGTGTTATTTTCTTTAGCTGATTGAACTGCTAAGAAATTGATAGTGGTATTGTGTTCAATACCAGGCGGGGAGTGTAATGTTATGTGCACATTGAGAATTTTAGCATCTCCTAGTGGTTAGCTTGGAGACTGCGGTCAAGTGAATTTTTATGTGGTTTGGCTTGTATTCCTATTGGATGTTTAGAGTCACATGAGTGGGGTGATACAGGAAGAGTTTCCTATTGGATGTTTAGAGTCACATGAGTGGGGTAATGCAGGAAGCCATTTTAGTATTGGGATTTGCACAATGAGGCGTACCAGAAGTCTCCCTGTTTAATCCTTAAGCATCCACCTGTGTTATGCCATGGAGAAGCTTTGTTTGTAAGTTTGAATTGTGTTTCATCTTTATAAGTAGTGAGTGTTGTATATTTTATTGATTTTATGCATATTTGGAGAGATGTATATATAAATGCCTAGATCTGTTCGCCATGTGAAGCAAATGCATAATTCTTTATTGAGCATATTTCTTTTTGTATTTTTGTAGTTTCACAAGTTCTGGGAAATCACTGTAAGTTGTACGTTGATGAAGACAAACAAGTAAACAGCCCTCAACTTTACTTTCACGCCTGACTCATCATTCAACGCTTTCAGTGCTTACGGCATATGTTTAGCTATCTGTCACTTCGTGTACCAGAACCACGCACGCAGGGGACAGAATAATGACCGTTGGAACAAGTGATGCACTGTGAATACTTCCACTGTAGGGTGAGGTGGTATTGATGAACTTGTATGATTTGGTGATAACGTCAGTATGTGTTGGGTCTTACAAATAAACTTACAAATAAAAACACATCAAACACCACAAACATAACTCGAGGTCACAACATCAAGAGCGGGGTGAACAGCAGCATGGCACCAGATCTGCCCTAACCTTCCATTAAACCAATCAGCCAACAACCCTGTGTTACCTGAATATGCTCCCATCCTCGCTGACCTCAGGTGTAATCTCAACCTGCACAGACCAACAGGTAAAAAAATGATTAAAAAACTGGACTGATCAACAAAAAAAAATCAACAATTAGCACATCAGTGACATCACAGTGACACAACTTACCTGTGGTGTATTTGTCTCCAACCTAATGTCAGAGTAGGTCAGTGATGTCACTGCTTCTGCTTGAAAAAAGAGACCTGCAGAAAGATGACATCATCACATCACATGATTACATCCTTCCTGATAAATATCGAGTCAAGTGTAGCTTAGCACAGACTTTGCATACATACACAGCGTTGGCACGATCTTCATCAGGATCTCCATGGCGACACGTTCTGCCCGATTGGATCCAAAGAGTTTTTCTAGAAGTCTCCACGTCGTCTGTCTGCATGTTCCAACTGCTCTCCACTGCAGTGACTTTCTGCAGTCATGTATTTGTTGACCAACCACTGGAAACACTTGAGTTCATCTGAGACCAGAAACTCCAACATCTCCATGATGACAACTGAGTCTGAGGCATTCTGGGAAACAAAAATAGGACAGCTGGTGACATCATGGATCAAGGTGAACTAGTGGTCTTCAGACCTGACATTCCCTCTGAACTTTGCTGAAACTGTCAGGTGACAAAAACAAACCTTGTCCCTGATGTGATCCTCTTTCAGCTCCTGCAGTAAAAAGGGTTCTGATTGACCAAGGGCGTGGTAGAACACTTTCTGAGCTTCCTCCCCCTTCCTGAGGACCAAGTCTACTAGAACCCGGTTCCTGTCCTTGCAAGCTCCGTAGATGGCGATGGCCTCCCTTTCTGAGGCGTTTAGGATCCTGCAGCATTGCAGGGCTTCCAGGATGGGGCCGGGTCTCTGGATCCTGCTGATAAGCTTCCGCCGCTGAGTCTTCACAAAGCCTTGGACAGGTTTTAGATCTGATTCAGGTCTCAGGGGGATCATGGTGAAACGTACAGGGCGAACCTGATGATTTCCGCCGATTAGAGACTGGACTGCGGCCAACACCGCTGGCGCTCTGTCCTCCTGGTAACACCTCATCATTGTTTTGGCGGTGCTGCAGGCGTCAGCAGACCGCAGCCAGCGTGGAGGGATGGGGGGGAAGTCCTGCAGCAGGTCTGACTGACTGAGACCCCACTGGATCCTCCAGAGCTCCACAAGTGGTAGCTTTGAAAGCTCCCACAGCAGTACATCCTCCTTACCGTCCTCCATTGGGGTATGGGGTGAGTCCCAAACCTGAACTGCCTCCAGCATGTCACCCATGAGTTACGTGAGTGCCCTCAGCTTTGACTGACAGGCCAAGAGACCTCCTGCAAGACAAGCAAAGAGGCAACAAAAACCCTGACCAAATCAGTTCAATTCCATTTCATTTTATTTATATAGGTCCAAATCACAACAATAGTTGCCTCAAGGGGATTTATATTGTAAGGTAAATAGGTGTGCAGAGCCATAGCTGGACTGGCCATCAGGCATACCGGGCATTTGCCCAGTGGGCCGATGGTGATTTTGTTTTTTTGTTTTTTGTTTTTCTTTTGTAACGGTATAAACAACGAAAGGTGGTGGATTGGCCAGATCATGGCCGATGTGTAAAAATAACTCAGTTTTTTGGTGGTGGCTATGGCGGAGCTTCCACCAGCAGGTTGATGAGGGAAAGGGGAGGCAGGAGGAGAAGAGACCCGAGACGGTCGCCGAGTGTCAGGTGAACTGATCTTCAGGTAAGAAATTATGACCTGCAGTCTATCTGGGTCAAATATAAACTAAGTTTAGGTGTAGTTTATTTTCGTTGTGCTAACCTTTTACAGTCACTTACAATACCTTGTAGCTAGCATGACGGAGTTTCTATACAGCTGGGTGGGTGCTTTGATGTTACTGATAGTGAACTTTATTTTATTCATAAGGTTAGTTAGTAGAGTTGCCAACCGTCCCGTAAAAAACGGAATTGTCCCATATTCAGAGAAAATATTGTGTGTTTCGTATTGAGCCGAAAAGGAACGCAGTTTGTCCCGTACTTCAGCTAGAATTAAAAAAAAAAGACAGAAAGCTGGAGTTATTCTGTGTCTTTACGCTGCACAGCTGCTTCTTTTTTATCATTCATTTCTTAAAATGTCTCGCTTTTAATAGCTAATTATCTGAAAATATAAACGTGTTTGAGAATTATACCAGTACATCTGATTTGAGGTGCTATTTTTTACAGGAGCTACAGTATCCAGTCGTACGTAGTGAGGAGGTAAAATTATTAAGAAGATAATCGACCTCTGTTGGACTAGCGTTCAAGTAGCTGCTCTGCTCTGTGTTAGTACAGGGCATTGAAGATGATAACAGTGGGTGGATTATATTCTTAAACAGCACTTTCAGAAACACATCTTCTGTGATGCAATCTACTCCCCACTGCTGTGTAATCAATTATTGTAAATTTAAAAGTTATTAGGAAATGATCAGACAAAAGAGGGTTTTCACCAGGGGCGGAGCGTGGGGGTGGCTTACTGGGCTTAAGCCCGGGTTGTTTTGTCAGAAGCCCGGGGTCTTTTGGAGTGTAATTTTTTCATAGTTAGATGCCTGGCTGACAACTGTATAAAACAAAAAGTACACACAATATTCGAAGCACATAGTGCACACTGTGGGAATTTACGACTGTGCGTGAATCCCCCCTGATATTGGTATGATCCGAGCTCAGGCACTAAGCGGGCGGGGCAGCTGCTGCCTACGAGTGCGCTGTTGGAGAAACGCAGCCAGGCAGACAGAGGAGAACTGAAGTTTGACCAGGTACCAAAGCAAACCATTCATACCGTACAAATAATGTAAATATGACGGTGCATCACGAAAGATTGATATCAAACTGATCACTTGACCAATATTACGTTACTTGTTCTTCAAGTGAATCAACAATGAAAAGCCGAACAAATGCTATTTTTTTTTATAGAGTCTTATCTTACGTGTGTTAATTTCATATTTTCAGTTCTTACCCTCCCCGACTAAATCGGTTTCAGTTATGTACTGAAATATAAGAATGGACATTAGAGGGTTCTTTCAAAGAAAAAACTCAGGTAAATGTTATTTTATATATTATGCTTCGTATGTTGTTCAGTATATTTCTATGCAAAACAAGAGGGATTTCAGTACACAGCAGGATATTCACATTTGTAACCAGATATTTACATACACTTTAGGGAGAAAACATAAAACATTTTTACTGTACAAGATCAATTTAGAGTAAACTTTTGTTTTAGATAAATATTGAAATATCTTTTGAATTAGTTAAATGTCAGAATAAAGAGAGACAGAGCTGTCTATTTTTATCACTTTGATCAAATTTAGGCGTACATATACACTAAGTTTATTGTTAATTAATAAGAAACTCCAGACGATTCCATTCTGAGCTGAAGAAGCTTCTGATAGGTTAGTAGAGTCCATGTGAGTAAATTGGTGGCACACCTGTGGATGCATATAAGGCAAAACACAGAGCCTGTTTCTTTGAAATGGGAAAATTAAGAGATATCAACCAAAACACCAGGAACAGAACTATGGAGCTCCATAAGTGTGGCTCAAGTTTGAATACAATTTGGTGCCATTTGCAATTAAGAAATACAGATAGTTTCTCTCTTTACTCTTAAAGTTAACAAATGTGTTTTTTATATTTATCAATCTAAAAAAATAAACATTTAGTCTGATTTGATGTTACAATTAAAAAAGTGTACATAAATATGTGGTTTCAACTGTATATTTGATGATTGTCAGCACAAAGAGGGAGAGAGAGGAACAGAGAGGGAGATGGAGAATGAGGACAGAACAGAGATGAACAAGAGCAGGTGAGACACATGTTAGTCAAATGGTCGTTTACCAAAAGTATCACCGTATCATAGGTACTCATGTATCTCGTACCTAGTGTTTCTTTTTAGGTTTGCTATTTTTCAAATTCTATATTTATTAAGTTATGCAGGCTTGTTTGCACAACAAGGCTAAATAATTATATAAACTTTTCTCAATCTAAATAGTGTACTTTGGTAGAATTAAAAAAATAAGTGTACTGCAGGTCTATGATGATTTTTAGTGCTACTATCATCTAGTTCTGATTCTGGTTCTGTCTTGGTTAAATCCTAAGTAGTCCTGATTTTGAACTGTTGTAGTCCTGTTTTAATTCTGGATCAGTTCTGGGTCTGGTTGAATTGGGGTTTAGTCCTCGTGTCTTAATACAGCCCCGACTTTGTTCTGCCTCGCTGCTTAATTAAAAAACTAGTTTAAGGTGTACTGCACATGTGGTATATATTTTTCCCTATATGAAGTCATTCTTTTTGAACAAAACTCAAAACAGAGCCTATTAGTCAGTCATTTCTACCCCCCCCCCCCCCAAAAAAAAAAAAAAAAAGAAATCCCACATGCATACTACCCTTTAGGGCTAAGCCCCGGGTGTTTCAAATGTCTGGCTCCGCCTCTGGTTTTCACGAAACACTGTTAAATGTTCCATTTCTATGCCATATGTTAAAACAAGATCCAGAGTGTGATTAAAGTTGTGTGTGGGTTCTTTTACATTTTGAGAGAAGCCAGTTCTGAGGTTGTCATTTTTAGCATCTACATTTTATCTTAGCTGAGCACAAAATAAGACAGAAACACATACTGTGCCATTGTTACCTGTATTGGACAAATAAAACTTGAAACTGTCACGCCCAGGCGGATCAGCTGCATGCTGATCAGCACACTCTGTTTCTTTCTCTCCTCCTCTCTCTCTCCTCTTCTCTCTCGCCGGGGCGGAACTCACTGTGGGTTCACGCCCTCGCCCCACGCCCTCGGGAGACGAGACACCTGGGTCTCATTAATATGATCAGCATTTAAGCCAGGAGGTGACTGCTGTTCGTTGCTGGATCGTTGTCTACCACGCAGCTCCCTGGATTTTCCCCCTGTGTGATTCCCGAGTGGCAAGTGTTGGAGTGAGAGCCAGTGATTGTGTGTGTGGATGATCTGAAGAACGCGTGCTTTTCCCCTGGAGCCTCTTTTCCCTCACGCAGCTGTACATAGCACTCCCCCCTGCACCTTCTTGTATATACACCTGGTGAATTTTAAATAAATCTTTCTTGTGTGCATCTGAGCCTGGAGTCCTGCGCTTGAGTCCTCCTCCAAACCGTAACAGAAAGTCCTTTTCCTGTCTCCTTCACTTGTTTTTTTTTTTTTAGGCAGTCGATTTGAATGAGTAAACGAAACTGGACAGTTTGAGAAATCATTGTTTTAAACAACAATCATTTAAATTGAGGACAGTCTGAGCCTATAGCAGCTCTGTTAGGGTAACAAAGGTACTACGAGGTATTTAAGATAATTATTCCGGACTTTATGTGAGAAGAAGGATTTGCCTTTGTATAAAGTGATATTATCTGTAATTTGTCTTTGATAAAATCGTCAATAATCAAAGTCACTCGAACATAAACAATAAACACAAACAGAAAGGAGAGCGAGGTTAAGTGAAGCTGCTGAG